CAAGTGCAGGCTCTTCTTAGACGTGGCAAGTGACAGGTAACAGCGTTTGTTGTACAGGGCTGCTGGAGGGAAGCTTCCTCTTAGTTTTCCTCCTTGGAATTCCCCTAAGCCTCTAACGTTTCATCTGTGACTTGCCTGGCTCATTTCCTCCTTATTTCTATGAACCCTGAGCAGTGAGAGCAGCTCTCCTGCTGTTCTGGTGCTGAATCCAGATTGAAGGAACAGCAACCACCTGCTTTCCTAAGGTCAGTTTTTCATCAATTCTCAACTGCTATGCTTTTGTCATGGTAAATTCATTTTATCTTACTTGCCGTGAAGAACTGTGACTGACTTGTGTGTCAGTATATGGACTTGTATTGCTTGAAGTATTCTTATGATGAAGTCTGAATTAGAAGGGGTGATATTTTGGAGAAATTTTAGCCATGTTAATTGCTTGAAAACGAGTAGTTTCAGGTTTTGAGGGGAACATGCTTCTTCTTGGTACAAATACTGTTTGTACGGAAAGTGAAACTGCGGAGTATTGGAATAAACTAGCTTGTTTCTGTTCTTCTGACTGTTCTGGCAAGAAAACGTTCTGGTTTAGGAGGGCTTCTGTGATAGAGAAGGTCTTTGAATATAAAGGTAGTTTGTCTGCTAAAAAATAGGCAAGGGGTCTGCCCTGCTACTTCATACCAGCTCCCTGCTGAGATGGGAGAGATGGGCACAGCTGTGACAGCAGAGGCACTGCTGGGTTCAGGAGGCAAATTCTGCTCTCAGAGATTTTCTCAACTCTGACACCTGCAGGACAGCATGTCAGCAGCCTGCCCACATTTAGCTATCTACCAGGCAAGGCTGGTGAGGTTTGGGGGTTTGTTTTTCTAATTTGTTGTTTGTCACTATACAGTGAAGTTCATAGAAAGGCAGAAAATCCTTCTGGCTGACATCTGTACTTTTTCAAACTTCTCTAACTTCATCTGAAGGAGACAAAGGAGAGTAAGGTAGGACATGCAGCAGATTTTTTTCCAGCATCATCTCAGTTCTTTCATTTGAGACTAATGCATAGGTAAGATGCCTTCCATAGGTAGAAGTATCATCTTTTGGTAAATCACATAATACAGCAGGAAAAGATAAACAGGCTTTTGGACATAAGCTTCTCATAGATTTGAAATAGGTCCCACTCTTCCAATGCTAAATATAAACTGTGCACTATGATTCTCGGTTTCCTAAACTGATATGAAAATTA